GCCTCAGCCTCCCGAGTAGCTGGGATTACAGGCGCCTGCCACTACGCCCAGCTAATTTTTTGTATTTTTAGTAGAGACGGGATTTCACCATGTCAGCCAGGCTGGTCTTGAACTCCTGACCTCATGATTCACCCATCTCGGCCTCCCAAAGTGCTGGGATTACAGGCATGAGCCGCCGCACCCAGCCGTATAATTATTATTATTTTGAGATGGAGTATTGCTGTCTCGTCCAGGCTGGAGTACTGTGGTGTGATCTCAGCTCACTGCAACCTCTGCCTCCCGAGTTCAAGCTGTTCTTCTGCCTCAGCCTCCTGAGTAGCTGGGATTACAGGCAAGCGCCACCATACTCGGCTGATTTTTGTATTTTTAATAGAGATGGGTGTTTCACCGTGTTGGCCAGGCTGGTCTTGAACTCCTGACTTTGTGATTCATTTGCCTCGGCCTCCCAAAGTGTTGGGATTACAGGCGTGAGCCACCGTGCCCAGCTGGCCATGTATAATTATTTAACCAGCTATATTTTCTGTATTTTTGGCTGTTTCTCATTGAATTTAGAAAGTGGTATTATATGGTTCTGCTGAAAGAGCATTAAATTTAAAAACAATTTTTTAAAGTGGTATTGTACTTAAATATTCTGTGAAAGAAAATATCACATGGGCAGGTAATAGGAGCTTTAAAATAAGCTAAATGAGATGAAAACTCAATCAATTCTTTGTCTTTTAGGCTCAAACTCGAGTAAAATTGAATTTCTTGGACCAGATCGCGAAGTACTGGGAGTTACAGGGAAGTACTCTGAAAATTCCACATGTGGAGAGGAAGATCTTGGACTTATTTCAGCTTAATAAGGTAATGGGCTAATGACCATCTTACCATCTTACTCATTTAATAATCTTACTGACAGAATGAATTTGATCTTCTTTGCCTTAAAAAGGAACTTACTGCTCAGCCAGATGGCTCGCGCCTGTAATCTTAGCACTTTGGGAGGTCAAGGGAGGAGGATTGCTTGAGACCAGCCTGGGTAACATAGGGAAACCTTGTCTTTACAAAAAATTAAAAAATTAGACAGGCATGGTGGCATGTGCCAGCTATTTGGGCGGCTAAGGAGGGAGGATCACTTGAGCCCAGGAGGTGGAGGCTGTGGTGAGCTGTGATTGCACCACTGCACTCTAGCCTGGGTAACTGAGCAAAGATGCTGTCCCAAAAAAGAAAGAAAGAACAAAGAAACTTATTTTTTGAGATGTGCAAAATGAGGTTCTCAAGTCAGTTGAGTGATGAGGATCATCAGGTCCTGCTTCCCAGGTCTTGAAGCCTTGTGGAATATTTTGCTGCCACCTGTTTTTCTCATTTTCGCACTTTACAAAAATTCTGCAAACTATTTCTTTTTATTACAGATAAGGAAACTGAGGCTCAGGGTGATAAAAAGCTAAAAAGCGCTGAGCCATGGCCGGGCATGGTGATTCATGCCTGTTATCCCAGCACTTTGGGAGGTCGAGGCGGGTGGATCAACTGAGGTCAGGAGTTCCATACCAGCCTGACCAACATGTCGAAACCCCGTCTCTACTAAAAATACAAGATTAGCTTGGTAATACAGAAGTCAAAGTGTCTTTTGCCTAAATGAGTGTTTTTTTTTAACAGGCTCAGTGACATTGCTCAGTGGGAAGATTTGTGGGGAGAGGTATATATGTGATATTTATTTGGGAAAGGGTGTTCATACATATTTTGCTGTTCTCCTGGACAAAAGGTTGAGAAGCCACTACTTTGTGTTCTATTTTGTTTGACTGGTTAGAATCAGATTTACCTAACCTGGGTTTTAATTGTAAAACAAAATTTTAAATCTCAAATACTTACAAGTTACTCTAATAAGAGCCTTTGCTTTCTCCTAGGATTGGCAGCCACCATTTGCATGTGATGTTGATAAACTTCATTTTACGCCGCGTATCCAGAGACTGAATGAATTGGAGGTAATGTCTTCACTAGTGTTCTGTTTGCCTGTATTCCAGGGGGACCCTCCTTGAAATTATTAGGATATATTAAAATTGTTATAGAATCACCATTGTAAATCTGTTTTTAGATTTGTATTTGAGCAAATAAGAATATTTCTGTAGAGAACAGGTCTTTAAAGTATCGAATTGGCTAGGCATGGTGACTCACACTTGTAATCTCAGCACTTAGGGAGGCTGGGGCAGGAGGGTTGGCCTGGGCAACATACTGAGACCCTGTCTCTAGTAAAACATAATTTTAAAAATTAGCCAGGTGTGATGATGATGGTGTGTGCCTATAGTTCCAGCTACTCAGGAGGCTGAGGTGGGTGGATTGCTTCAGCCTGCAAGGTCAAGACTATAGTGAGCCATGGTTGTGCCACTGCACTCTGCACTCCAGCCTGGGCAACAGAGCAAGACCCTGTATCATATATATTTACATATGTGAAGATACACACACACAAAATTGTATTTTTTTTGTAGGGATGGAGTCTCCCTATGTTGCCCAGGCTGGTCTCAAACTCCTGGGCTCAAGTGGTCCCGCTCTGTCGCGCAGGCTGGAGTGCAACAGCATGATCCTGGTTCACTGCAACCTCTGCCTCCTGGGTTCAAGTGATTCACCTGCCTCAGCCTCCAAGTAGCTGGAATTACAGTGTGTGCCACCATAGCCGGCTAATTTTTGGTATTTTTAGTAGAGATGGGGGTTCAAACCTTTTTGGCCAGGGCTGCGGTCTTGAATACCTGACCTCAGGGTCCACCTGCCTTGGCCTCCCAAAGTGTGGGATTACAGGCATGAGCCACCATGCCTGGCTGAATTAAATTTGTTGAAGTCTATATGTGTGGTTGTGTGTGGTGGGGGGGAGATTATGATTATATTATATATATATATTTATATATATATGTATCTTTATATTATTTTTTTTTTTGGGGGGACAGAGTCCTCGCTGTGTCTACAAGCTGGAGTGGCTGTGGCCATCAATCTCAGTTCACTTTTTCTTTTTATATTGTTTTATGATCCCCTTGTTCCTCTTAGTTTCATGTTTTTTCTTTTTTAGTTGATTCACCTGCTGCGGGTCTCCTGTATGCTAGTGTATCGACGTTGTACCACCATACGTGTTCAGCTAATTTTGTGTTATTAGTAGAGATGGGTTTTCCAACGCATGTTGGCCAGGCTGGTCTCATAACTGTTCGGCTCAAGTGATCTCGCCATTTTGGTTCCTCCAAGTGCATTGTGTATTTTACGGTTGTGAGTTCCACCTATCACTTGACCATGTAAATTTATTTATTTTTTATTTTCTTTTATGAACGGAGTTCGCATCTTTCATCTGTGTGATGTCTATTCTATGATCTTGGCTCCATGAACTTTTCGTCTCCCAGGTCAAGCAATTCTCCTGTG